AATAAAGGTGGTCAGCTTTTACTTTTACTTTTCAGACACATTAATGATGAATTTGACTGTTCCATATTTCCCATGTGACTCCCACGTCGCAAGTGGGATACATAAATGTTTTATATTTTTTTTACCGTTGCTTTGGCCTTTAATATTGCAACGTTAATATACTAAATGTTAGGAAAGTTCCGACGTGTATCTCACGTGGCAACTTTCCCATGGGGCAATCACGTCGCAAATAAGCATAGCTTTAATGGGTTCCGACGTGGTTTTCACGTGGTTACGTTCCCACGTGTCTACCATGTTGCAAATGTTGCTATATATTAAATGCTCATAATGCTTTCACGCATCCTCCTTTCTTCTTCCTTTTCCTTCCTTCTTTCTCCTTTCCTCTTTCTCCTTCTTCTCCTTCTGCGTGATACTCTCCTCCATTTTTGAATCAAAGCTTCACAAATATTTTGAGGTAAATGTTACTTTCTTTGTTTTTGTTTTTGTTTTACATTTTATTTTAATTTTTTCTTATTATTAATTATTAATTTTTCTTTCAGATCGAAGATTAAGAACTTGCTCCATTGAAGCTTTAGGAATTTGCTCCATTGAGGTATTTACGCATTTAAACTTATTTATTTTTCAGATTTATAGTGATATATGAAATGTTTGGTTATTGATTATAAAACTTTAGATTTGTTGTTGTTGTTGTATTTAAATATGTAATGTTGTTTGGGTGTTTGAAAGATAAAGTTAAAAATATTAGAAGATATATTATATTAGGAACAAAATATATATTTTTAGAATTAAAAACAGAATATATAATAGAAAAATATGTAATAGAATATATATTAGAAACAAAATATGTAATGTTGTATTTAAATATGTATTTAAAATGAAAAACAGAATATATATTATATTAGAAAAAGTAGAATTTTTTAAAATATTTTTAGTAAACAAAATTGTAAATAGAAAAAATTAAAATGTATTTTTTTTAAAAACATAATGAATATGTATTATATTTAAAATGTGTTATTTTTAGAAAAAGTATTTTTATTAAAAAATAATGAATATGTATTATATTTTAAATGTATTATTTTTTGTAAAAAAATTATATATTATATTATAGAATACATATTATATTTTAGTAAACATAATATATATTATTTTAGAAAAAATAGATTTTTAAAACTAATGAATATATATATTATATTTTAAATGTGTTATTTTTAGTAAACAAATTATATATTATATTTTAGAATATTATATTTTAGTAAACATAATTTATGTTATTTTAGAAAAAAAAAATTTAAAAATAATGAATATATATATTATATTTTAAATGTGTTATTTTTAATAAACAAATTATATATTATATTTTTGAATATTATATTTTAGAGTATGTAGTATATTTTAGTAAACATAATTTATATTATTTTAGAAAATATAGATTTAAATTTGTGTCGAAATAGATTTAAAATAGACTTTAGTAAACATATTTTATTAGGTTGGTGTCGAAATAGAAAAAATAGATTTAAATTTGTTAAATTAATGTGAAAAGAATTATATTATTTTGCATATTAAAATCACATATTTTATTAAAATGACGTATAATGATAGTACTGAAGGTGAGAAAAACACTTAGAAGGGGGGGTTGAATAAGGGTTTAGAAATAATTATGGCAATAAAAACAACACAGTATTTTTATCCTAGTTCGTTGAACTCAACTAATCCAGTCCACCCTACCAAGGTGATTTGCCTTTCTCAACAAGGACTTAATCCACTATATTCAAACAGATTACAGTGTCAACCACTAAGAACAACAATCTTAGTCTTCTCAAGAAATCCTGACCACAACTTGGTCTTCTTAAGGAACCTTTTACAAATAAATGTAAACTAACAAGTGTTTAAGATGCTTCTAAAAAGCTATATCACAAACTGTGATTTTTACATTTAGATTAAGAACGAATAAAAACTATTCAGCTTATGAAATAAATTGTATGAGAGCTTGAGAGTAGTTTTGATTTGATTTCCCAGTAATTCGTCAATGATTCGTTAACCTTGAAATGTTGTTGAAGACATCCTTTTATAGAGCAGAAAGTCTAATGCTTGAAGACTGTGTGTAGCAGAATAGCTGTAGCCTTTTTGTCTTCTATTGACTTTAGCTTTCCCAGAAGAGGAATGTTCAGACAAATCCCTTTTGTCTGTTTTCCTGTGCCATACATGAATAAGGAAAGAGTCGTTTGGAATATGCCAATGGATATATCTTTGAATAGTATATTCTTCAACAAGCTTCTAAGTTATCAACATCAGAGTCTTGAAGTGATCAGAGATTGATGGATCAGAGTCTTGATGTTATCAGAGTTTTGCAGCAAAAGTGCTTCAGCGTGAATATCAATTAGAGCAGAGTTTGAATAACAAAGCTTCTGTACTTGCAGCGAACAGTACTTTCAGAGTCTTCTTGAAACAATTCTTGAAACTCTTCATACATTATCTTCAACTACGCTTCAGATTCTTCTGCAGCTTCTGCTTTAGAGTCTTATGCAGCTTCTGCTTCAGAGTCTCTTCTGGAAGCGCTCAAAGTCTTCTGATGACTTGCTTCTGATGCGTCAGAGCTTGCGTAGAGTAATGTTCAGATGCATTTTTTCTTCCATAAGAATATTTAGTTTAATATCTAAAACAAAAATACTTGAACAAAATTAGAGTATATATTTTCTTAATACAAAATATTATTAGAGTTATCATCAAAACATAGAAATAATATTAAACACCAATCTGTGTTCTAACAAGTACAAATGTGCAGTATGGAATATTTTCGTTACTATCATAGTTGGATGTACGATAGAACGTTACCAGCAGACGTGGACTTACACCAAATTTTGAGGAAGGAGTTAAGGGGTTTATCACGTGGGCATTTGCACAAGAAGGAGGACTAATATGTCCTTGTCTTAAATGTGAATTTAGACCTATAATTAGTGATCCAGAGGAAGTAGAACGTCATTTAAAGAGGAAGGGTTTCATTAAAAATTATTGGGTTTGGACATATAATGGAGAACAACTACCGAGTAACATACATGCAGAGACAACTAATACACACGCATCAAGCAGTCGATCACATATGGAATTTGAGGAACAATTTAATCTGATCAATGATATGGTTGGTAATGCATTTAGAGAAAATGTGACATATGATGAACCTCATGATTTTGATGGGGAAGAGTTGCCGAATGAGGAAGCACAAAGATTTTACCAATTGTTGAAAGAAATGAATACGCTGTTGTTTGAGGGGTCGGCAGATTCAAAATTATCAATGTGTGTGGGATTATTGGCCGCAAAGTCAAATTGGAATGTCTTAATCAGTGTTTGGAATACTTTGCAAAAATGATGTTGGATGCGACTCCTATGAAAGACAACTTGCCTACAAGTTATTATGATGCAAAGAGGTTGGTTTCAAAGTTGGGTTTAGAAGTATGAAAGATTGATTGTTTCCTAAATGGATGTATGTTGTTTTATGACAATGAGTTTGGTATTAATGATGAGGCGCTGGAGGAATGTAAGTTCTGTAAGAGTCCGAGATATCAAGTTCGTAGTAAAGCCATTAACCGTAAACAAAAACGTGTGGCAGTGACGTCTATGTTTTATTTGCCGATAATACCAAGGTTAAAAAGATTGTTTGCTTCAATGCACAGTGCAAGTCAAATGACATGGCATCATACAAACAAAACAAGTTCAGGCATTATGCAGCATCCATCTGATGGTGAGGCATGGAAACATTTTGATAGGGTACATCCTGATTTTGCTGCAGAACCTAGAAATGTCAGGCTCAGACTATGCTCTGATGGTTTTACTTCATACATCCAAGCATCCTCAATTGCATATTCCTATTGGCCAGTTATCGTAACCCCTTACAACCTCCCTCTAGAGATGTGCATGACAAAACCATACATGTTTTTGACTTGCCTCATTCCAGGACCGTCAAGTTCTAAAGCCGGAATTGACGTTTATTTACAACCTTTAATAGATAATTTGAAGGGTTGTGGATTGGATAATGGACCTATGATATATCTCGCAAAGAAAAATTTACTTTACGAGTTGCCTTGATGTGAACTATTAATGAATTTCCCGCTTATGGAATGTTATCTGGTTGGGGTACGCAGGGAAAAATGGAATGTCCACATTGCATGGAATTTACAAAGGCTTTTACTTTGGAATTTGGAGGGAAAAGTTTGTGGTTCGACTGTCACCATAGATTCCTACCACGAGACCATGTCTTTAGGAGAAACAAGACTGATTTCAAAAAAGATGTACGAGTAAAAGATTTGCCTCCTCCGCGATTATCACCAGAGGAAATATGGAATCGAGTTTCTGAACTGTCAAAATTTACAGATTATGGTGAAGCATGCAAAATTCAAGGATATGGGGTCAAACAAAATTGGACAAAAAGATGTATATTTTGGGACCTCCCATATTGGAAAGATAATTTATTACGACATAATCTTGATGTTATGCATATTGAAAAGAATTTCTTTGATAATATATTTAACACGATGATGGATGTTCAAGGCAAAATAAAAGATAATGAGAAGGCTAGAAGGGACATGGAAATTTTGTGTGATAGAAAAGAGTTGGAGTTGAAGCTTCGGCCTAATGGAGAATTATTAAAACCTAAGGCTTGTTACAGTCTAACTTCCCAAGATGATAAAGTGGTTTGTCGATGGTTAAATGAATTGAGAATGTCGGATGGTTATGTTTCAAATTAAGCAAGGTGTGCTGACACCAAAACTGGGAAGTTACATGGAATGAAAAGTCATGATTGTCATGTTTTCATGGAACGATTGCTTCCAATTGCGTTCAGTTTACTACTCAACCATGTGTTATATCCGCTGATTGAAATAAGTCAACTTTTCAGAGATATTTGTGCGTCAACTTTAAGAGTCGATAGCATCATTAAGTTGGACCAAAATATTCCAGTTATTCTATGCAAGTTGGAACGAGTTTTTTCACCTGGTTTTTTCGACTCTATGGAGCATCTACCTGTGCATCTTGCATATGAAGCCTATCTTGGTAGCCCCGTTCAATACAGGTGGATGTATCCCTTTGAAATATTCATGGGTGATTCAAAGCGATCAGTGAAAAATAAAGCTAAAGTTGAAGGATCAATATGTGCACATTACTTGCATCGGGAAACATCACATTTTTGCAGTCATTATTTCAATCATTTGATGTTAACTCCAAGAATCATAAGGAATGAATTTGATGTTAACAAAAGAAGTCAGTTTACCTTGTCAATCTCCGCTCTTCCCGGTCGCCCCTATGGAAAGGAGAATGTGCATTGGCTGACCCAAAAAGAATTGCAATCTGCACATTTTCATGTTCTAATTAACCGTATTGAAGTTAGGCCATATCTTGAGTAAATATACCCCTAACGTAACTACCTATCTGGCTTTACAAATTGAATTATTACATTCTAACTAATAATATGTTTGTTTATAGGGCATTTAACGCCTCCTATTTTCAAAGCACCGGTGAACAAGCAATTAGCGGTCACATACGTGCATGTTTTCCAGCATGGTTCAAGGATCAATTGTCATGCATTGTTGCACCGACTCAAGAAATACTTCATTTGAGAAACATATCTAAAGAGCCTGCTCAAAGAGCAATTGAATGGCACACATACTTTGTGAACAACTATAAATTTCACACCCAGGCTTGGACAGAAGGGAAAAAAACCATAAATAGTGGTGTATTTGTTAAAGGAGTTACATATGGTGGTGAAGACGACTTATATCACTACGCCAGAAATGAGATTTAGCAGCACACCCTTTAGCAGCGCTTCTTAAAAAAGCGCTGCTAAAGGGTGGGTAAAAAAAAAAGAAAAAAAATTTCCTACCTAAGACAGCGCTTTTGAAAAAGCGCTACTAAAGGGGACCCTAAGAAAGCGCTTTTTAAAATGCGCTGCTAAAGGGGGACATAAGAAAGCGCTTTTTCTATAAAGCGCTGCTATATGGCATTGCTAAGCACCCTAAGAAAGCGCTGCTAAAGGCCTTTAAAAGCGCTGCTAAATGGGGACCTAAGAAAGCGCTTTTAAAAAGCGCTACTAAAGGGGGACCTAAGAAAGCGCTTTTAAAAAGCGCTGCTGTAGGGTGTGCCAAAGAAAGCGCTTTCCTTCAAAAAGCGCTGCTATATGGTTTTCAAAGAAAGCGCTTTTTAAGCGCTGCTGTAGGTATTAAAATTAACACAAAATTAAGTTAAAATATATTACAGAATTTTTTAAAGAACTAAAACAGAAGCAGAACGCGCGTATACTTTCTTCAATTTTTCTTTCTCCTCCAGCGAACCAGAACCCTATTTGCATTTCTCCTCCTCCGTCCGTTTCACTCCTCCGTCCGACCGACGCCCACCTCCCTCCGTTTCACTCCTCCGTCCGACCGACGCCCACCTCCGTCCGACACACAAAGTAGCACATTTCGCCTCCACTGTTACGGTATTTCCGCCATTGTTACGGCATTTTTCTGGATTAAAAAATAGTATTGCATTTTTCTGGATTAGTTTCACTTCTTTATGAGTTATTGACTTGTTTTTGTTGATACTATTGATGATCATTACTCTTTTGATATTGGTTTGAGTTTGAGTTATTGACTTGTTTTTGTTGATACTATTGATGATCATTACTCTTTTGATATTGGTTTGAGTTTTGTATACAAGGTGTTTGTTGAAATGCCATGCACAATGAATTTGTTTTTGTTAATCTTGAAGTTTATTTATTTTCCATGTCATAGTTGCCAATAATGCATGCATAGAGACTACACCAAATCAAGTAATAGAACATAGCCACCTTATTCAAATTAATCAAATCTAGGGAGATAATTATTATAGAGTCATTTTGAGCATTATAAAATAGTTTAGAATAGTTTAGAATAGTTTTATATGAGTATTATAGAATAGTTTAGTTTAGAGTAGTTTAGAGTCATTTTAGAGTACTTTAAAATAGTTTAGAGTCATTTTGAGCATTATAGAACATAACCACCTTATTGATTTTGAGTATCACATCAAGTAATAGAATAGTTTAGAGTCATTTTGAGCATTATAGAACATAGCCACATTTGATGAGTATTATATGAAATAGTTGTTTTTTGAGCATTTTAGAGTACTTTAGAATAGTTTGAAATACTTTAGAGTCATTTTGAGTTGTGGAAATTATTATAGAGTTGTTTAGAGTTTGCCTTGAGGACTCTATTGCGTTAAAGACAAATATTGTAACCCTTTTGACGAGTTATGAGAAGATATAAATAATTAGTTAATATGAGATGTATATGAGATTTATTAGTTAATATGAGAAAATAGATAAAATAGATAAAATAGATAAAATAATAATATGATTTATTGGTATTATAAAATGATTTATATTTTAGTATAATTTTTTAGAAATAAATCAAGAGCTTTTCAAAAATAAGATCATATTTGTCGTGCATTCTTTTACACCAAAAGGATTAAATATTGTTGATTTACTGTTAGTTGAAAAATTAACTTACTCGAATAATTTCACATATTTGTTAATTTCGTTGTTGATGTTAATTTCATATATTTATTAATTTCATATATTTACTGTTAGTTGAAAAATTATTTAATGTTGATGATATTATTAATTTTGTCTTTTATAGGGGTTACCTGTGAAGAGCAAGGTTGTGATCGTTTCGAAGCATCCTACTGTGTAGCTTTCTTAGAAGTTAGTGATTTCTTTACAGGTATTCTCCGCATTTGTTTAACTTTCTTAGTTTAGTTTAGACTACTCATTTAGTATGGATAAAAAATGGATGTCTTCCAATCAATTGTCTAAAGAGTACGAGAATGGGGTATCGAAATTCGTTAAGTTTGCTGTTGAACACGCCAAAGACCCCAGTAGGATCACATGTCCTTTCTTAGGTTGCTGTTATGGGCGTCGAATTGACGCCGTTCAGTTGGAATCTCATTTAATGAGACATGGAATTGATCGAAGTTACACATGTTGGACATTACATGGTGAGATAAGTAACGAGAATGTTGAACCCCGGAATAATACGACATGTGCTTCAAAGGACAATGGCAGAGATACATATGATTGTGATCGAGTCGAAGAGATTGCAGAAGCACTTGAAGAAGATCTTCAAGATTGTCCCAAGATGTTTGAGAGGTTGGTAAGCGATGCAGAGAAACCGTTGTATAAAGGTTGCACTACTTTCACAAGATTGTCCGCGGTATTAAAGTTGTACAATTTAAAGGCGGGTAATGGATGGTCGGATAAAAGTTTCATAGAGTTGTTAGCCCTACTTCAAGAGATGCCTTCGGAGGATAATGTTCTTCCCAATCGAACCTATGAAGCTAAAAAAATGTTATGCTCTATTGGCATGAGCTATGATAAGATACATGCTTGTCCAAATGATTGCATTTTGTTTCGAAATGAATATGCATCATTAAACGAGTGTCCTAAATGCGGTGTATCTCGGTATAAGAAAAAGTTGTCACCAGCAAAAGTATTATGGTATTTTCCTATAATTCCGAGATTCAGACGCATGTTTCGTAGTGAAACAGATGCAAAACACCTGACTTGGCATGCAGATGATAGAATTGTAGATGGGAAGTATCGACATCCGGCAGATTCACCACAGTGGATGAAAATTGATAATGATTATCCTGATTTTGGAGAAGAAGCTAGAAACCTTCGCTTGGCATTATCGACTGATGGAATGAATCCGCATGGTCTGTAGAGCATCTCACATTCCACCTGGCTTGTAATTATTATGATTTATAACCTACCTCCATGGCTATGTATGAAGCGTAAGTACATGATGTTATCTATGTTAATTTCTGGCCCTAAACAACCAGGGAATGACATAGACGTATACCTGACACCTCTAATCGAAGACTTAAAGAATTTGTGGGAGAACGGTGTGGAGGTTTATGATGGATATAGGAAATAAAGTTTCAATTTGAGGGTGATGGTGTTTGGCACAATTAATGATTTCCCAGCATACAGAAATCTATCGGGGTATAGCATTAAAGGTCAATGTGCGTGTCCTATCTGTGAAGAAAACACAGATTGGACGCGGTTGGAATTTGGTCAGAAGAATGTCTTTCTTGGTCATCGTAGATTCTTAAATTCTAGTCATCACTACCGTGGGTGGAGAAAAGCATTCAATGGAGATTCAGAACAATGTAAAGCTCCACCTACATTGACCGGCGAACAAATTTTTGAAAAGGTGAAAGATGTGAGTACTAAGTTTGGCAAGCCTTTTTCTCATACGCTTGTCACGCGTGGGTGGAAGAAGAGGTCAAATTTGTTTGAGTTTCCGTATTGGAAGTCGTTGTATGTAATACATTTTCTTGATGTTATGCATATTGAAAAAAATGTATTTGAAAGTGTTATTGGTACGTTACTCAATATACAAGGAAAGTCTAAGGATGGCCTTAAAGAAAGAAAGGACTTGGTAGCAATGGGAATAAGGAATGAATTAGGACCCTTGAAGAAAGGAAACCGCCCATATCTACCACCTGCTGCTTATACTTTATCTAGAAAGGAGAAAAAGATACTGTGTAAGTTTCTGAGTGAAGTTAAAGTTCCAGAAGGATACTCTTCAGATATTAGAAGACTTGTTTCCATGAAAGACCTCAAGTTAAAAAGTTTAAAGACACATGATTGCCATGTTATAATGAAACACTTTCTACCAATAGGTATATGTTCTATTTTGCCAGAAAAAGTGAGAGGCGCAATAACTAAATTGTGTTTTTTCTTTAGGTCAATCTGTAGTAAGGTGATAGATCCTGCGATCTTACCAACATTGCAAAGAGAAATAGTTATTACTATGTGCGAGCTTGAAATGTATTTTCCTCCATCAGTTTTTGACATAATGGTACATCTAGTTGTTCATCTTGTGAAAGAGACACAACTGTGTGGACCTGCCTATATGAGATGGATGTACCCTGTTGAACGTTATATGAAAATATTGAAAGGGTATGTGAAAAACCGAAGTCGACCAGAGGGATGTATTGTTGAACGATACATTGTTGAAGAAGCTATTGAGTTTTGTACTGAATATTTGTCCAACGTTCAATCCATTGGCCTCCCAAAATCTCATGTTGTTGAAAAAATAGATGGTAAACAGTTAATTGGAAATAAAGTTGTGACAATTTCAAGGGATGAACGGGAGCAAGTGCATTTGTATGTTCTGGACAATGACATTGAGGTTGAGCCGTATGTTGAAATGCCCAAGGAAGTTCTCCGAGGTTTAAATTTGAATAGAAATGAAAATTGGATAGTACGTGAGCACAATCGAAGTTTTATAACATGGTTCAAGGAGCATATTTTTTCAAAGTTTTATTCTGATCCCGCTTCAATAACAGAAAGGTTGAGATGTTTAGCATATGGTCCAAGTTTGCATGTGTTTTCTTATAGCGCATACGCAATTAATGGATACACATTTTATACCAAGGAACAAGATGATAAAAGTACAATGCAAAATAGTGGTGTCACCGTGCTTGCCGAAGCAATGCATATTTCCTCGTATTATGGGGTTATCGAGCGCATTTGGGTGTTTGATTATGAGAAGTTTCAGATTCCTATCTTTGGATGCAAGTGGGTTGAAAATAATAGTGGCATACAAATGGATAAATCAGGTTTTTTGAAAGTGGATCTTAATAAGGTGGGGTACAAAGATGAGCCTTTTATTCTAGCCACGCAAGCTAAACAAGTGTTCTATGTCACTGATCCGACAAGTACGAAATGGTCTATAGTTCTTTTTTCCAACAAAGTAATCGATGATAACATTGGAGAAAAGG